GGAGCTGTATGGCTTGTATGTAGGTTCATGGAGGACATGGGGGTGGGGGGAGGGAGTTGTGGAAGAAGGAGAAACTGAAACAGAGCTGGGAGTTTCTGGATGGGAAAACTGATGCATGGAGTTAAACCAGACTGCAGAAATGAGCAAGAGAGTCTTCCTTATCCTTGATGGAAGAGTTTAGGAGAAGCCAATCCAGCAACGTCAGGAAGGACCTGGAATTCCAGGATGAGGATGAACTGAGCAGCTGCTTTGTACCAGGTACTGCCTTTACAGTGATGAATAGCATACAGTCCTTGACCTCAGGGGACTATCTGCTTAGTGGGAAAGACAAGAATAATACCTGTGAAAATATAGGTGGACAAGGGCTGATTGCCAGGTGGGGGGCACAGTGAGCCTGATCTTCTCCGAGCAGTCTACAGATTGCTGCCCTGTGTTCATTGCTGAGCTCCACTGTTGAAGATGGACAGAGATTAACTGGAATCTACTTAGAAAAGATCTGCTAGGACCCTACAGAGATAAGATGTGATGTTAAGCAGGTGTGGTAGTTTAGGTTATGTGTCATCTTGGCTGAGCCTGGTTTAGAGTGGCTGGACAGTTGGGTGTAGTGATTCCTCATGATGAGATAGATTGATAATCAACTATATGGTGGGATCTACTGGAGCAGCTCAGTAGCTGTCTTGGGGATATGGTCTGCTTCTAGTGTATAAGGAGAAGTTTTCAAAAAGGTCTCTGCAGCTTTTTGGCATGTTTTGACCCTGCATGTAGCTGAGTCTTCATTTAGCACCCTGCCCTATTTCCTGATGATCTTGGGACTGTCTCTGGGCTTGAATTGGTGGCCTGCTGTGTTGTTTGATAATATTGGACTGTGCCATTTTATTTGTTGTTAGCTTCAGCAGCTGTCTGAGTGAAGAGACACTTCTAGCTCCTGTGGGCTAGCAGCAAGAGGCAGAGCTGAAGCCTAAGGTCAAGGGACTTTCACCCAGGTCCCAGAGCTTGGAACTTTGAACTCTGACTTCTGGCCTCCAAAACTGTAAGAGAATAAATTCCTGTTTGCTAAAGCCACCCATTTGTGGTATTTTCTGTTAGAGCGGCACTAGAGAATCAAAACTGCAGGCATATTTGGGGCTGGAGAACTTCAACCTGTAAAATTGGCCAAGAGTTATGGGAGAGCTGCCTCTAAATAACTGAAAGATTCATTTGTGGAAGAGGGGTGAGACTTACTCTGTGTGGCTCTGGATATCAAAACTAAGACCAGAGATTTAAAGCAGTAACAGACAGATTCCTTCAGTAGAAGGAGTAGCTCAGTAGAGCTATCTAAAGATGGAATGATCTGCTGTGAATTCACTGTGACTGGAGGTTTCCATTTTCTTTTTTTTTTTAGTTTTGTGATTTGAGTGAAAGTTTACAAAGCAAATTTATCTTCCACACAGCAGTTTACATACACTTTGTCTTAAGACATTGACTACAATTTCCCCCAATGCAACAGCTCTTTTCCTATTTCCTCCCCATAGTTACCTCTTCCCTGTGTCCTTCCCTCCCATGCACTCCTGCCCCCCAGCTGTCTCCCTGTACATACACAGCCCTTCTATTCTTCCATGATTGATCTCTCCAAGGAGTGTATCCACCTAATGTAAATGTTCAGCTCATATACCTATCTTTTGTTTAGTTGGAAGCTACAGGAATGGGTTTAATTCTAGACCTGAAAGGCAGCTAGGGGCCATAGTCTCAGTGGTTCCACTCTATCAGACCAGTAAACGTGGTTCCCCTTTTTTTTTTTTTTTTAAATGATTTTGAGTTTTGTTCCACATTGTTCTCCCACTCTATCCAGGATCTCCTACATAGATCCCCTGTGACTGGGGGTTTTCTAGTTGACAGTCTGAGCTAAGAAATGTCACTGCTCCTTCTCCCTGCAGGCTCATGCTCAGTTACCAAGTTCTGCTTTTCAAGTCTGTTCTCTCCTTCCCATTCCCTCCACCACGGCTGTAATTGTCATCTTTAGCCATGCATGATATCTCAGCAATATCATACTTATAGCAGCTAATACTTGTTGAATGCTTACTATTTGTCAGGTACTGTTTTAAGTATTTTTTTTTTATTAGGATTTGGGTGAAGATTTACAGAGTAAATTCACTTTTCATACAGCAGTTCACATATACTTTGTCTCATGTCATTGACCAAAATTTACAATGCAGCAGCTCCCCTCCCACTTCCTCCCCATAGTTACCTCCTCCCAGTGTCCATCCCTTCATACTCTTCTGCACCCTGAGCTATCTCCCTGTGCATAAGCAGCCCTTCCTTCTCCCATGATTGTTCTCTCCAGGGCGTGTGTCTACTTGAGGTAAATGTTTAACTCACATGCCTGTACTTTGTTTGGCTGGAAACCACAGTTGTGGGTTCAATTCCAGATAGGATCAACTACTCGGTGTTTTAAGTGTTTTACAGATATTAATTCAGTCTTTGCAACAACCCTTTCAAGGTAGCTATTAATGTGCCCTTTTTATGGTTTGGGCAAATTGAAGTTAAACAGCTTGCTCCTGGTCACACAGTGAACAAATGGCAGAGCTGTAATTCTAGCTCAGGCTGTCTGGCTTTAGAGTCATTGTTCTTTACCATAATTCTACTGTGTTTTATAGAAGTTATCTTAATCCTCACAACAATCCCAATTTACAGATAGAGGAATTGAGCGTCAGAGAGGTTGAGTGATTTGCTTAAGATCACAGAGCAAGATGTAGGGGAGCTAGGATTCAAACCCAGGAGTGATAGACATGACAAGTATCATACTGTGTCCTTCAGTCCTCCACACTCCCTGTGCTGGCTCTCTAACTACCACTACTAATGGCCTCTAACTGGTCTCCCTGTCTAGCCTTTCTGCCCTTAAATCTGTAAGACTTTGCTCTGAAGTCTGGGTAAGATTTGGTTGTATGTCATTGTATTGCTCAGGCTTTAAAGCCCAGGCATCATAGCTTTCATGCTTCCCACTGCAGTTTGTAACCACAAAATAGTTAAGAGTCATTCTTTGCTCTTCAGCCAGAGTTAACTTTCTGATGCACGGTGATGCATTTATTCTTCACTGCCCTGAACATAGTCCATATGGCTAAACAGGGTCCCAGGAAATCAGCTGCCAACCTTCCTTTTCTTCTTATCTCCCCCCTCCTGCCCATAGTCTTCTCACCACCGGGGTAATGTTTATATCTCTGTCAGCTTCTTAAGGGCAGGGGCCATGCATGCCTTTGGATGGCTGGCCTGAGAGTTGTCGCACAATGTGCATTGCTGTAAATGGCACTGGATGCCATAAGTGGAATTCAGGCCTGGATTGGTAACTTTGAAGCTCTTCCCCTTATCTGACTGAGACACTATGATTCTCCACCAGTATGTCCTGTGGAAATGCAGAAAAGGGCCGGTGGAGACTGGTGAGGCTGGGCCTGGAAAGAAGTGAGCAGGTAACGTGCAGATCATTCAGAAGGTCCCAGTGTTCTGATCGGGGCTCCTCTTACAGGGTGGCATTGGCCCCTGGGTGGGCTGAAGCTCCCAGTCTTCATCCCTGTCCCCCACTCTGCTGTGGGCCACAAGCGGCACGATGAACTGCCGCTCAGAGGTGCTGGAGGTGTCGGTGGAGGGGCGGCAGGTGGAGGAGGCCATGCTGGCTGTGCTGCACACCGTGCTCCTGCACCGTAGCACGGGCAAGTTCCACTACAAGAAGGAGGGCACCTACTCCATCGGCACCGTGGGCACCCAGGATGTCGACTGTGACTTCATTGACTTCACCTATGTGCGTGTCTCCTCCGATGAGCTTGACCGTGCCCTGCGCAAGGTTGTCGGGGAATTCAAGGTAGGAGTATGGCCTGGCCGATGGCAGGTGGACCTTAAGTGCCCCTCCACCCCGGTTTGCTGTTGGACCAGTTCACACTTCCCAGTGGGTTGTTTCAGGTTGTAAGAGAAAGGTGTGTGTTTGAAGCTCCTCTGGGGAGGGAAGGCTTGTGGTGGTGGCGGGGGAGGTTAGGGTTGGTTGGTTTGTGAGAATACCCAGAGAAGAGGGGAGAGCAGGAAGCCCTCACGGCATTTGTGTTCCGGTCCCCTGGAAAGCTGGAGATACTGCTCCTGTGGTCTTGGCTCTTCTCTGACCCCACAGCCCTTTCTACCAACCCCTCATCTGTGCTTCACTTTTCATGTCACCACCCTCTGGGCCTTTCTGTACAGAACTCCCTGAGAGAGAGGAGTTGCCATTGATGTGGGGTGCCCCTTTTGGGCATTGTGACACGTGTTTGGATGTGTCTGTGTGGGCAAGAGAAAGGGAAGGAAGGGACACCTCAGAAGGGTGGAAATAGGATACAAATTTTAACTTTGTCTTGATGCAGAATCTCAGTATTTCACCAAATGGGGATTTTTTTTTTTTTTAAATTTATAAAAGGCACATGCTCCAGTGTCAGAGGATTGCCTGCCTGCCTTCAATCCACAAATGTTTGGAGTTGCCCCTGCACTGTGTGTTCATTTCAGAAGCTTGCCTGGTGTCATGTGGGAACTCTCGCCCCATCCCCGCCAGTCAGAAAGCTAGCTCCATCCTCTCATCTGGGACCTCCTAGCCCAGAGCCCAGAAAGCGCAAGTTCATTAAGAGGTTTCCCAGTGTCCTTCAGGGGAGGCAGTGGTACCTTGCCCCGTGTTCTGCGTCTGTGTAAGGTATACAGGAGGGTAGTCGAATGCATAGCACAGACGCTGGAGCAGGCTTTATCACCTAACAAGCATGTGACCTTGGGTGGGTGACTTCATTCTCTAAGCCTTAGTTTCCCTTTGCGTAAAATTGAATGCTACTAGTACCTCCCTCACAGGGTGTACTTTTAGGCTTAAAGGAGTCAAATGTGTCAGTTGCTTGGAATAGAGCCTGGCACACATGAGCATATAGAAGTTAGCTATTGTTACTGTAGGAGCTCTGGTAGTGTAGTGCCTAAGGCACTTGACTGCTCACCAGGAGGCTGGCGGTTCAAACCCACTAGCCACTCCTCGGAAGGAAGATGGGTCAGTGTACTTTTGTAGTGATACTGCCTTGGAAACCCAAGGAGGGGCTATGAGTCCATGGCACATAACAACAACAACAACAACATTGTTACTGTTAGTCAAGGTCATGTGACTTTGGTCTGTCTATGAAGAAGAGACTTATCCTCTGATGGATGGTTCAGGATTTGAGGGAGTGCCTCTGGGTTGATACTAACTCAGAAGGAAACATGCTTCAGGGTCCTCGCTGCCCTAGGAAGAGAAGTGGGGGCGGGGTGGGGGTGGGTATTTATCTACACCCCAGGGGGTGGGGTAGGCAGAATTATTAGACCAGGTAGTCTCATTTGCTTATCAGAGGTGAAGCGGTAGAAGCAGCTGGTCTTGGTTCTCTAGTGCTGCTTAACTACCACACAACTAGGTCTGGTCTGTCCTTCAGCTTCCCTCCTCCATTGTGTTTCTTGGATTGGTTTCTTTTCTTTCTAAACAGGGATCACTGGGCCTTATAATCTCCCCCTTCTTCCCCCTATTGTTAGAAAGAGACTATAATTTGGGCTGTCATAAAATGAATGGGGTAGAAGGACTGTGTTCATTTTGCAGTGGAGAAGGCAAATAGAGTTTGCCTGGGGAGGAGGAGATACTGGGGAGAAGGTGATTTTAGAGAATGCTTCCAAGGGAACTCTGGTGGCATAGTGCCTTAGGCACTGAGGAGCTCTGGTAGCATAGTGCCTAAGGCACTTGACTGCTAACCAGAAGGCTGGTGGTTCAAACCCACCAGCCACTCCTCGGAAGGAAGGTTAGGCAATCTACTTCTATAGTGATACCGCCTTGGAAACCCAAGGAGGGGTCACTGTGAGTCGGATCTGATTCGACAGCAGTACGTTTGGTTTTTTTTTTTTGTTTGTTTGTTTCAAGGGTAGGGACAGCAGGAGTGGGGTTGGGGTGGGGTGAGAAGATCTTTAATGTGAAGGTAAAAAGCATAGATTTTGAAACAGATAACCTAGATTGAATCCTGGCTCTCCCATTCACCTGCAGTGTGACTTTTGGCAAGTTACCTTACATCTCTGACCTTGATGTTGTCTCAATAAAATGGAGGTAATACAGCTTCCTCACAGAGTTGCTGAGAAGAGCCAGTGGGAGGAGAGTGTGTTGCCTGGCAAAGAGTTAAGTGCTTAAAAATGGTGGTAATTTCTATACCGTCAATTCCTAACAAAGCTAGAGGAGTTGAGAGGAGACAGATTTTGTTGGCGGTTTGCTGAGTCAGTTCACACAAATCCTCTACTCTTTCTGGGCCTGTGTTCCCTGCCATCCCGAGGGACTAATACAGCTAGAGGTGCTTGCTTCTCTAGGGCATAGGAGGCAGACCTTCACAGGGTGAGAATTCTCCAGAGGTCTTGGCCTGCTCATCAGTTACCCCTTCTCCCCCAGGATGCCTTGCGCAACTCTGGTGGCGATGGGCTGGGGCAGATGTCCTTGGAGTTCTACCAGAAGAAAAAGTCTCGCTGGCCTTTCCCAGATGAGTGCATCCCATGGGAAGTGTGGACGGTCAAGGTGCATGTGGTAGCCCTGGCCACAGAGCAGGAGCGGCAGATATGCCGGGAGAAGGTGGGTGAGAAGCTATGCGAGAAAGTCATCAACATCGTGGAGGTGATGAACCGGCATGAGTACCTGCCCAAGATGCCCACACAATCGGAGGTGGACAATGTGTTTGACACAGGCTTGCGGGACGTGCAGCCCTACCTCTACAAGATCTCTTTCCAAATCACTGATGCCCTGGGCACCTCAGTCACCACCACCATGCGCAGGCTCATCAAAGACACCCTTGCCCTCTAGGGCTCGTTGGGGCATGGGAGCTCCTTTATGGCTCCCAAACCTTGGCTTCTGGGAATTACACTATTGCGGTCCTTGGGGTGCTGGAAACCTACTCTGGATCCTTGGGAGGGGCAACCCCGGCTTCCTTTTTGGTACTTGCCAGCCTCTCTTGTGAACTTTGGCTGACTACCAAATCCAGCCTTACACTGTCTCTTCACACCCCAGGTTGGGGTCCCCCTTCTCCACTGTACAGAACAACCCCCACTAAGGATGGTGAATAAAATTGAGAATGTGATTGGGTTGAGCCAGCTCTCCTTTGGCTTGTGTTCTATCTGAAACGTCTTTCTGGTAGATCTGTGAGGACACACCTGTGTATCGAGAGCATTATTCCAAGATGGTGGGGTATTAAATATAGATTATGACGGTCAGATTTTGCACTTTGTTAGACATTCACACAGGCAGTTGTTACCCACCCAGATGTGATCGTGGCCAGTCTCATAAATAAGGACATGAGGTCAAGGTCTGTTGCTTTTGGATGTGACTGAACCATGTCTCTTCCTTTTCTAGGAAGTTATAACTGTAAGCTAGTTATAACTATAAGCTACTCCCTAGCTTTTATATTACCTGGTCTTGATTCATAATGGCCCCAGAGAACATTTTCTCTGTCTTCACAGAGCACACACAGCCCCACATACACCAGATAGGTAATTTGACTTAGTTTCTCTCTCTGGAGATGTTAGCCATCTTCAGACTGTCTGGTGTTTGGTGGTAGTTTTCCAGGTTGGGCTGCCTCTGGCTAGTGGTTAGGACATCGGTTTGGTAACTCATGCTCGTATTTCCACACAAGCACACTCAATTTCAGTGAATGTTGTGTGCTATGCTTTTTGTTGATTTTGTCCATGTTTTACAGTTATCCTTGGCCACCATTTAGGGCAATTTTAACCCAACTATATGAACTGTATGTACGTTGAGGGGCATGCTAGGGAGAAATTGGAGGGGGTCCTGCCTGTGGTCCTGGAGCAGAGTAGGCAGCCAGGATGCCCAGGATGTTTGTACATTTTCTGTTCCAGGCCACCATGGGCACATGATATTTCATGACTGTGAGATTTTGTCCTACCCTTGATCTCTCAGAAGCAACTCAATGGTGGCAACTAACAGGAACCCCCTTGGTCTCTGGTGCTTTAGGGAGAACTCAGGAGTGGGGTTTGGAGGTGGAGAAGGCCCATTCCAGGAAGTCCTTGATCATGTGTGACTGCCACCTGGCCTGCTGCAGTCTGTGGGTCCTTCTTCCTCCCAATGGCAGTTTCTTCTGAGGGGGTACCTAGTACAGGTGTTGGCTGGCAGTGACTTTGTGTAAAAGAGGGCTCAAGACTTAATACAAGATTTTTCAGGAGACGTGAGCAGAATAGTTTTCTCTCTATCTCCAGCTTCCCTGGATAGTCTCCGTTTTTGCAGCTGGACTCTGCTCCAGTCTCCCACCTAGGTTGGCTTGGCAAGCTGGCAGCAGGCTGCTCTTGGTGGACAGGGCAGTAACATCCCCATCCCATTTGAGCTACCCTGAGAAGGGAGGTGGGCAAGGCAGAGGGAAGGAATAGATTTACTCGCAGTCAGGATGGGAACCTGTGATTCAAATCTATATCTTACTGGCCTTGAGCTTGAGAAAAGGATTGGGGTAGGTCTTGAAACTCCACTGCTCTAGCCTTCATCTCCCCCTGCTGTGGAGGCTGAAGGAGGCACTGACCTGCTTGTCCAGACCTGGGAGGCTCCCAAAGGGGATGCTGGAGAGGAAGGATGTGAATCACTCGGGTCCTGGAGGCTGCCCCCTTGCCTCCTGTCCCAAGCAGCCACTTGGGCCACCTAGTTGCATTGAGCTTTGGCCCAAGGACAGAAAGCGCATGAAGAGGATGGCCCTTCCTTGTAGCCCCCATCAAACACCAGGGATAGGGGTCTGGGGGATCCTTGTAGGCTCTGAGCTAGTTGCTACCTCTAGACCAAAGGAGAGGGAGAGTTTTTGGGACAGGGCTGGCTGGGGACAGGAGCTGGATTCACATGAGAGCGTGGATGGGCTTTTTGGGGGGAGAATACAGCCCTAGGAGTGTGGGTCTTTTGAGAAGGGGCTGTTACCCACACTGTTCCCACTCTCTAGGGAGAGCAATAGCTCACTGGGTAAAGAGTAGGGGCAAGGCGTAGGGCGCCTAGGATCCGCCCCTCGGCCCCTCCCCTGCTCTGTCGCTGGCCGGCCCACCCGCTTACTCGCGCTCCGGTACAGTGGCGGCCCCGCGCACGTCTGGGCAGCTTGCGCGGGCAGCATGAATGGCTCACATGCTGGCCCCGCGGCCAATGCCGCCTGGCTGAACGTCTGCTGCAACCAGTCAGGGGCGCTGCTGGAGACCCCTGAGGGCCCGCGCGCCGTACAGGCGGCGGTGCTGGCCGTGCTATCGCTGCTCGTGCTCTGTGGGGTCCTGTTCTTGGGGGGTGGTCTGCTCCTCCGCGCCCAGGGTCTGGCAGAACTGCTGGCCCGCGAGCGGCGCGCTTCCCACGAGGCCGAGCCAGGCAGCACCAGTGGAGGTGACGACGACTTGTAGGCATCTGGCTGCGCTCGAGGGTAGCGGCCTCAGACTTTGCTTTGCGCGGCCGGGCCCTCCGGCCCGTGGTGCCACCAGGAGCGCCCAGACAGCAGCACGGAGCAGAGGCTCCTCGTCCCTCCCCTGAGGCTGGCGGAGCCTGCAGGTGAGAGCATCAGGAGCGCGGCCCGGGTGAAGAGAAGGGGCCTGGAGGGAGGCAAGGGGGTGAGTAGGTGGAGGTAACTTCTGTATTGAGGGGTGCTCCTCAGGGGGCAGCTAAGAAAACTGTCTTGGAGAATCAGCTTTTCAGGGATTCTAGTTGCCAGCATTAAATCCCTGGGGGTGGGGGGAGGGCTGTACCTGTCCCAGGTGTGGAGGGATCTGGGAGGAGGCTGCCCTTCCCTTACTCTCCTGCTTATCTCTGGGTACCTGCAGTTCCTGGTTACCTTTTGTCCTATCTCTGTCCTCTTAGGAGTGGCCATTAGCTGTGGGCCTGGTGCTCTGGGTCCACGGAGAGAGGGAGGTGCAGTCTGGAGGGGTCACAGTGCACTCTGGAGCCCTTCTTGTGTTAGCCTCAGCCTTCCCCCACTTCCTGCATCTCCCTAGCCCTCCTGGTAGTAAGGGCCAGCTCAGCATTGAGCCAGCCCAGCTCATTGTGCTGGGAGACCCAGGAGAGACTGCACAAAAAACTCAGCTGGTGTCTGTGGCTTCAGCTTTTTTCCCCTCTGGTCATGTCCTTCCTGAATCCTCTTCCCTGGAAGGAAGTTTGAGTAAAAGATTCCTCACTGTTACTTTCCTCTGAAGCAGGGATTGGGGTTGTTTCAAGGGCAGAGCTGGGGGGCCAGCATGACCCTGGGGAATGGGAGGAGGTGTTCTCCTGTGCCCTCCCACAGCCCCCATTCAAGTTGGGGAGACAAATGTAACCTGGAACAAGGAGCTTGAGGTGGTGGTGGTGTGGTGTGGGGTGTGTGTGTGTGTGTGTAGGAGGGTGGGGGTGACAGTAGAAGGTAAGTTTCCTAGCAGCTGGTGGGTCTCACAAGCACATTGTTCCAGGGAGCTGGGGCTGAGGATTTGCAGCTGTGGGGGCTCTGTCTGGGTCTCCTGCCTCTGTCTCTCCAAGGACAGGAGCCATCTGGAAGGAAGGGTGGGTGGCCTAAAGGACAAGGTAACTCCAGGCCAAGGCCAGCACTGGCAGAGCCACTCGGGTTGGGCAGGGAGATGCCTTCACTGTCCTCTCCTTCTCTTCAGTTTTGTACCTAGTTGGTCCCGAGGATATCCTGTAGGTGGGGGTGTTTGTTGGGGGTGACTGACTGGTCTTGCTTCCTGCCCCTTGAGCCTCTCTCCTGCTTGCCATGTGGAGCAGAGGCAGGGTGCCCGTCTTCCTCTGAGAAGAGGGTCAGACTGGGTGTCTGTGAGAAGGGGCTGGTGAGGGGCAAGGGGAGGTGTGAGCCGGTGCAGCTAAACAGCTGTGAAGCTGACAACCTGCTATCCCTGCACAGAGCAGCCCAGGATTTGGCGCTAATCCCAGGCTGCCTGGGCCATGCTGGCCTTGCTGAGCTGTGGATTTCTCACCTCTGGGGTGCCGCCCCCACCCCTTGGAGAGAGGGCTGTCTAGGGCAGTGAGGGGTGTGTGTGTGTGTGTGTGTGTGTGTGTGTGTTACTGCTCTTGGCGTCAAGGTAGCCAGGCTGGCCCAAGTGACATTCCCCACCTCACTTGGCTGTTTCCTGGGAGGAGTGGGGACAACCTCCTTTTCTTATATCCAGGTTCTTTCATCCCTCTTGCTCAATACATTTTGCTGCTTTCCAACCCTTTCTCCCTTCTGGACCCTGTGCTCTTCCCTCCTTCCCCAACTGGGCTAGAGGAATCTCCAGACCCATTGTGAACCCCCCTTTATTTTACAAATGGGGAAGCTGAAACTCCTAGAGGAGTGACATACTCAAGTGGAAGAGCTGGAACTGGACCCTGGGGCTTCTGACCCTCGAACTCAGGGCTCATTTCCCCACTTGGGTTGCCCCTCTTGCTCTTCACTACCCCCTTCCCATCCCTCTTTGAGATGCTGATGGAAACTATGGCCTCTCTTTCCCCAAAAGAATGAATCTTTCTCTCTCTGTCTCTCACACACACACTCCATACAGTTTCAGGGACTGGAACCCAACCGCTGTGTTTCCGTGCCTGCCTCTAATGCTGGGCTGCGGCTTCCAGCCAGCTGGGCTCAGCTTTGTTGGTTTGAACCTCAGGGGTGGTGGTGGTGGCAAACTGAGAGGGTCAGCTGGAATATACACCTATGAAAAAAATCCAAGTAATCAGAGCCAGGAGGTCAGAGCTAAAGGGTGATTGGGTTTTGGCTTTTGGGTTCAAGTCCAGGCAATGTTAGAGGTGTAGGGAGATTTGGTTGTAGAAAGGGTAGTGTCTCCAGCATCATCATGTCTGCTCACATTTGGGACAGGGCTGACATGGGGGAGTGGGCAGGAAAAGACTTTGCATCCAACTTCCTGCCCTTGCTGTCCCCTCAGCTCTGTACTTAGAGAGCCAGGGTGTGGGGTGAGCTGGGGGCCTCAATGTTCTTGGGGGAAGAGACTGAGCCGCTTGCTTTAGAGCTCTGACCCTGGTCAAGGCTGTCAGGCTGAGTGGGGAGGAAAAGAATTTGGAAAATTGGGAACTGTGTGCTGTTCCTGTCACCTATCTCCTAGACTCCAGTGGGGAGTAAGAAGTGGGGGAATGGGTGCAGGTCTGAGCACC